CCCCCATTTTGTACCCCCCCCCACTTTCATACCAACCCCCCCACTCACAACCCCCCCCCATTTATACCCCCCACTTTCCATCCGAATCCCCCCACTCACAACCCCCCCCCCCCATTTGTACCCCCCCCCCCACTTTCCATCCCAACCCCCCCACTCACAACACCCCCCACTTTCCATCCCAACCCCCCCACTCACAACACCCTCCCCCCACTTATACCCCCCCACTTTCCATCCCAACCCCCCCACTCACAACACCCCCCCACTTTCCATCCCAACCCCCCCACTCACAACCCCCCCACTCACAACCCCCCCCCCCCATTTGTACCCCCCACTTTCCATCCCAACCCCCCCACTCACAACCCCCCCATTTATACCCCCCCCCACTTTCCATCCCAACCCCCCCACTCACAACCCCCCCCCCATTTACACCCCGCACTTTCCATCCCAACCCCCCCCCATATATACCCCCCACTTTCCATCCCAACCCCCTACTCACAACACCTCCCCCCCCACTTTCCATCACAACACCCCCCCCATTTATACCCCCCACTTTCCATCCCAACCCCCCACTCACAACACCCCCCCCCACTTTCCATCCCAACCCCCCCACTCACAACCCCCCCCCCCATTTATACCCCCCACTTTCCATCCCAACCCCCCCCACTCACAACCCCCCCCCCCATTTATACCCCCCCACTTTCCATCCCAACCCCCCCACTCACAACACCCCCCCCCACTTTCCATCCCAACCCCCCCCACTCATACCAACCCCCCCACCCCCCACTTGCCATCCCAATCCTCTCTCTTACCAATTCCCCCCATCACACTTAACCCCCCTAATTAACCACCACCCCCCCCCCCACACACTTCCCCTTGCATCTGATGGGCGAGGCTGTGAGTGTGAGAGAGAGAGGTGGGGGTGTGGGGGGGGGGATTTTTTTTAATCGCTAAGAGATCGACCACGTGATCCGGCGTGCGCGCGAGGCAAACTCCGTGCGCGAGAGCGAACGCGCGGCGCCCTCGTCCAAAATCCACCGCCGTCGTGAGAACGAGGGGCGGGGGAGCACTCGCAGTCGCGCGCCCGCGCGCGCGCTACCCGCGAGGCGGTGAGGAAACCCCCTCCCCTCTTGAGCGAGCGTGAGAGCGCGCGCGCGCGCGACCTAAGCCCGCGCGCGCCACCTCTTTGTGTTTTTCCCGCCCTCGGCCGCGCGGCGCTCGCGCGCTCGTAACCCGTCCCGAGTGCGCGGCGGCCACGCGCATGCGCACTGCTGCCGCGCGGCCGCCATTTCGCGAGAGCGCCTTTTTCCCCTGTCGCCCATTGCCGCTTGCCGCACTCGCCGCCCCCCCTCCCCCTTCGTCTTCTTCCTCCATCTTCACCGCCACTTCGGCGGCCGCGCAAACTCGAGCCGCGCTTCAACAAATCGCCTCTTTCCGCCCGCTGCCGCTCCGGCCGTCGCGAGCGTGCCGGCGGCGAAGGGGAGTTGAGCGCCCACCGGCGGCGGCGGCGAGGAGGAGCCGAGGTGAGTGTGGCCGACAGCAGGGGGGGCTGGTCGCATGGCGGCGAGGCGAGGCGCGGCGCGGCTTGCACGAGCGTGCGGCCGCCTCTAGGTGTCCCGCTGTCCGCGGCGAGGGCTCGGCGGCGGGCCCGCCCGCCCGCCCGTTCACCTCGGCTACGTATTTAAATATATTTCTGCTCTCCGCTACGGGCAAGCTGTTATTGTCCCTTCTTGCCGCACAGGGGCAGAGTTATGTGTGGCGAGGCGGGCGCGTTGTTGCGTGTGTTGACGCGGCCGAGGGCTGAGGCGGCGACGATGATGATGATGGTGTGGGGGGCGACGGGACGCCGAGCCGCCGCGGCCGTCTCCTCCTCGCCGATTGTCTTCCCCGCGTCTCGCTGCGTCTCTTAAGCGCAAAAAAATCAAAATGGAGGCCGAGGCCCCCTGGTCCCCTGACAAACAACAACAGCAGCGGCGGCGGCGGCGGGAAGGAGGCGAGGCCCGGCCCCGACTGCCCCCCCACCGAGTCCCGCATCCACCACCAGGGTAGCGCGGTTGCAACCTCCTGCGGTGAACGTCGGTTGGGCCGTCTTTTAAAGACATTTTTTTGTTAATGTTGAGACATTTTGGAAGAGTTTTTTTTTGCACCGTTGCAATGAAGCTCGGTGGGGTGTGGGGCGGGCGGATGTTTCTCGGGCGCCATGTCGACGGCGGAGGAGGCTTTGGAGGGTATTTGTCAGCATCGGGGTTAAATGAGTGAATTGAGTTGGTGACATTTTTTGAGACTTGTATAATTTAACATGTCGCCCCTTTTGTTTGGATATAAAAAAACCCTCACTCGCAGCCGACGCTGATGCACCGCGATTGTAAACTACGCGGTTTAATTCGCGCCCCAGCGACTTGGGCTCGATTACCGAGTTTAATGAGCAGGGCCCAGGAGTGATGGTGGTGGATCACGCAGTGGCCTTTGGCGACCCATGGGTAAATCGGGACGCAACATCGGGGGCCGCTGGGGGCTTGGTGCTATAGGGATACAACACCTGGGCCTGCGGAAGGATTGGTGACCGTAGGGAACTACAGCACGACTGGTGGGGAGGGCATTACGTGGGTTTATGACAACATCATATAGACAACACCTGGCATCCGTGAGCTGCCCCAGAGGGCCAGCCACTATCTGCCCCATGGCAGTGCAATTCAGAGTGCAGCCGCCTATAACAAGGCAGCCCTTTGGGTCCTTAAAATATCCCATGTGGAGACAATGGCAGAGCCCCCCCCTGGGCTGCCCTCTTGAGCGATACAACACCTGAACCCTAGGGCTGCACCATATGCCCACTCGGAGACAACCGCCACACGCCCCCCCCTCGCACATGTTACAATAAATACTGCTTTGCGCATGATGCTCAAGAATACGCATTGCTGAGGATCGTCATGCCAACCCACAGTTCGCATAAGCCCCCATACAGGAGCAGTAGCTGGGTTTGTTTAAGGTCTCGTGATGGCACCAATGGCAGATCATGCTTGGATTTGGGGGGGGGGCTCAGTATACCATTTATTTCAGCCCTCATACACAGACACTTGTCAGTTTAGTACGGGTTGTGTGGAGAAACTCGGATTTATGTTTAAATTGGCGGTGTTGCAGTTCCGCAGTGCACCGCACGATGAACCCCAATGAGCCGAGTTGTGAGTCTCGGCCTGGGCTTCGCCTGTTTCAACCTACGCTAGCCAGCGTAGGTTGAAATATGGTCAACATACCCAAATGACTAACACGGCGTGTAGAGGCTTTCTTCGCGCAGTGGTTTGACGAGAATTTTATAGTTTTAATTAAACGTTTTGAACTACCTATGCAAACCTAACTCCACTGCTAATGTAAACGTTTTATTTTTTAAATCCTGTATTCAATGGTTCTTGTAAAATAAATAAAAACATTTAGATTTAAAAGTAGAATAGACAAGTGTGGATTTGATTCCATGAAATCAAGTGAAACAGTGTACAGTCTACCAACTCAACACTTTTTGTGTCTTTGGGTCGACACGTGATTGCACTTTAAAGGGTACAACCAGGGCCCAGAGTTAGCTCCATGATAGGACCACGTAGAGCCTATACCTTGTGGGGTTACCCATAGTGACGCAGCTCCATAATTGGTGAAAACAGGTTTAAAGAAAAAACTGAATACTTATGGTGTTACATGCATTCACCCACAGTTTATGGTCTGCCCCATATGGAGGCAACACTAATGCCCGAGGGCTGCCCCATATGCCCACTGTGGGAAGATACACACGTCCCCTGTAAAATTACTGATTGTTACATGATGGTGATAAATATTCACTTCATTATCTACATTATTGTAAACCCACACTACACTGACAAGATGGTAGCGTGGGAGGAAGAGACTCCCCCCTCCCGCCCCTGGTTTTCCGTATCACAGTGGGCACCATTTACTTTCCCTGCGGTTTTAAATATGAAGTGTAGCTGACAGAAAACAAACGTAATCATTTTGTGCCAGAAATAAGATTATTGTACTTGCATCAGTGAATTTTTTTACCCATAAGGCATCCGCAAATTGGGAAAGAAAACAAATTACATTGTCAATATCATGGGACCTCCTTTGCCAGTACCAAAATATGAGAATAGGTTTTTTCCCATTTTTTCTGGCAACAAAAAAACAACATTTTACAAGGAATCATGTCTGCATTATCCACAATACTTGTGGTGAGAATACTCTGAGTGTTTTTTATTGCATTCTGACCACAAGTATTGTGGTTGATGCATACATGATTAATTGTAAAAGTTTTTTTTGCCAGAAAAAAGGGGAAAAAACCTATCCTAACATTGTCAATAGACGTGATGTTTTTATGTCTGCGCATTGTGATTTTGTATGACTTTGCTA